TGTGAATTTAGTTAATAATTAGTAAACAACAAATGAATAGATAGAAATCTTATTGTTGAAATTGAAGATAAATTGAATTTGTAGTCAATAAAGATACCAGAAAAGACACTGTAATTTTAATTTAATGAATGGCTTATTTTTTAAGACTGACAATGCAATTATCCTGGCCTACTATGAGCATAAAAGCAACGTTTTAATGTCAACTACTTCTGAAATGTAAAAAGATGAACAGAAACTATATGTATAGATACACACACACATACACATACATACACACACACACACACACACACACACACACACACACACACACACATTAAAACACAAGATATGGGGCTAAAGAGATTGCTCACTGATAAAAAGCACTGGCTGCTCTTGTAGAAGACCCAGGTTCGGTTCCCAGCACCCACGTGGAGGCTAACAATCACCTGTAACTCCAGTTGCAAGGGATCTGATGTCCTCTTCTGGCCTCTGAGGGCACTGTACACAGGTGGTCCTCTTACATACATGCCAGCTAAATACTCAAGCACAAAAAGTAAAGTAAAATAAAAACACAAGATATAAGAAGTCAAAACATTTATTCTTGAAACTGACAATAGTATTTTATAACTCACCACATAATAAATTATGAGGTACACAATTTAGATAAATAAATAAGTCTACTGTAAACTTTGTAAAATAATTTTTTTTCTCCAAATTCTTAGCTCAGTCTTCAATGTCTAAGTCTACACTGTGAATTTCTCTCTGGTATGTCCTACTTTACAAGACAAGAGAAAAAGTATCTTATTAACCTAATTGTAAGGTCATACTGGTATTCTAATGAGAAATATTTGGGGCCTGCCTTATATTGTGTGTAATTTTATTATTCAGTGAATGAAATTAATAAGAGGAATTAAATGATGTCATCAGACTCAGACTATTCAACCAGTTCAACAAGAATCAACAAGAATCAAGAAAATCAATAATAAAGTAGCAGAGTTCTTCAACTGGTGAGACAAAATTTGTGAAAGTAAAATTAATGATGAACATTTTGCTTTAAGAAATCTTTAAGTTATAGTCTGAGAAAATGAAAAATCAGCAATTATTAAATATTAGAAGATTTTTTGAGTTCAAATAAATGTAGTATGAATTCTTGAAGAACTAGCAATTTCAAGGACTGAAGAAGGAAAAGTTCACTTACTCCTCCTTCCTAATACCTGAACTTCCTCAGGAAGCATCAGTCTGTCCTTTAGAGGAAAGGCTAGATGCAGTCCTGACTTCTGTTTCCTACTGTGCAACTGACTCAGCTGTGTGGTGCAAAGCAAACACACGTTGCTCCACTGAAACTCGGTTTTCACATCTGTAAAAGTGTAAACTATTCATGTATGCCAAAGGGATATGTGAATTACCTAGTGAATGATTACATAAAGTAATGAACACATAAAACTCTACATAAATGCTATTCACTATTACTTAGTTAGATGAAAAACAGGCATCAGAGGAAAACAGTAATTAAATGCCAATAAAGGTAAGTAGCTCAGCAGAAAAACAAACTGACATGCAAAGTTAGGCGCCAGAGATCCTACTAAGCCAAGCAATTGAAAAATACAAAATGGCGTACAGGAAACAGTGCCACGCTCTGCCAGTCTCCAAGGCAAGGTAAGGATGAGATGTTTCTGAAATGCTCAAATTCTAATTGATCTGGATTTTATCTGAAGATATAATATTCTTCAAAATGAAAGTAAAATCTAGTAAACAGAATTAGCAATTTTCAAAGAATTGGTGTTTATGTTCATACATTAAGTACACACATAATACATAATGCATAAACATTTGCTCACGTGTAGGTAGTACATACAAATACATACTCTCACCCTTCTCTGTCTCAAATACCAACAAGCCCATTAAAAAAAAAGTAGTGCAATTGGAATGGAATGTTGAAATACTTAAAGGCTTTTAATCAGATATTCTTTAGAAATGCTTTGTATATAGTATTTAACTTTTCAAGGATAAAGTAAGTGTTCCAAAATTAAATAGCAAAACAGCCACATGGTGGTGGATAATATAGAACAACTGTGCTGCATCTGAAAGATAGCAGTTTATCACAAATAACATGAACACTCCAGACACATTTCTGTGACTAGAATATCTGGGGATATATTTTCAAAGTCTTAGTCTTTATTAGACTATTAGATGTACTTAAATCACAAGGGAGGCTACTTTCAACATGGTGCTCTCTAAAACTTAAAATGATGGTTATTAAATTGTTCTGTTAGTATGTAATTTCTCACTAGAAATTTAGTCTTCATAAATTTATGATTACATAAAGTAATAAACATAAGACATTTTGTAACAATGGAAACTTTAGCTTTAAAAATATAAGGCTTCCATGTGTGAGTCATAAAGCAGCTACAAAACAAACCTCCTTATAAGCACATCTATCTTGAATGGTATATTACACTCATAATTGTTCAATTCACTGTTAATTATTACTTAGAAATTCACGTTTATGGCTGCTTCACCTGCGATATGAAACATATCCCTGATATATTATTGTACCTTAACTTCCTGGATCAATACACTCTGGCTTACCTTGGAAGGGAAGCTGACAATGTAGTCTTTTCTTCTCTAACTACGAGTTAAGAATAAACTGAGAACTGACAACAGGGAAAGAAAACTTATGATAATTATTCTCTTTTCATGCTCCCTTCAGATCCAAAGTAGAGATCACACTATATTGTCCAGACTCACTGTCTCTTGTGGTATGGTGGGGAGTTAACGTACTACTTTTAGAATAGATAACTACTTTAATGATAGGGGAATTTGAAGCAGTTCTAGTGACATCTTACTGTGAGCTTTACAACACATTTCTAATGATTTTATTTCAGAGTATATTTACTCTACCCTTTCTGGATACTGAATATACCTTATAAATAGGTCTAGGGTGTGGCTTATTGGTAGAATGCTTGCCTGAATAAACTGCATAGTTAAATTTGCAAGGTCTCAGTGTAGCATAATGGTATTGTTTGATTTTCAAAGAAACTCATACTTTACTCAGTTCTTCTGTTGTTGTTAAGTCAGTCGTGTGTATCCCAAGTTGACCCAAAACTCTTATATAGCTAAGGCTGATCATGAACCTAAGCTTCCAATGAATGAATGAATGAATGAATGAATGAATGAATGAATTTTTCGTGTGTCTGTGTGTGTGTGTGTGTGTGTGTGTGTGTGTGATATGGACCATTGTGAATGTCTGTGGAAGTCAGAGGATATCAGGTGTCTTCTTCCATCGTTTGCCTTATTTCTTTGAGTCAGGGTCTCTCACTAAACTTGGAGCTAGGCTGGCAGTCAGCAAGTTCCAGAGATCCTCTTGCCTCCACCTCCTATAGCACTGATGTTACAGGTGCATGTGTCCACACCTAGCTTTTTTTGGTGAGCTTTTTTTTTTTTAATCTGAATTAGGTTTGCAAATACCACTCTCATTTCACAGATGAGGAAACTGGCTGTGTTGTTCAATATTATGATCACTGTTGCCATGGAAATTATAATGAAAATTAATTTAACTTAAAATAGTAGCTAAAAAAGTGGTTCCTTAGCACACTAGTCATGTCTCAAGTGCACATCTGCCATGTGGTAAGTGGCTATCATACTGGACAGAGCTACAGGAAAACTTTCACTGTTATAGAAAGTTTGACAAGATAATAGACATTTAGAGAGTTTTACTGATTTGTCCCAATTCAAAACTAAGTATTGAGCTGGATTATAACCCAGGTAACCTACCTTTAGACTCAGTATGCCCTTTAAAATATTTTTTAAAACAAAAACTTAATTATAGAATATTTTAACACCTATGTATATGACATCTAGCTTGAGCAACTATAAACTTAAAGCCCTACTTTTAATAGTGTATACTATTTTTGCTTCTCTTCCTTAATTACATTATTTAAAGAAAACTTAGTCATCATTCAGAGTAGAATACAGGGAGGCAATATAAAATAATAGTTAAGATTACAGAATGAGGGCCGGGCATGGAGGTGAACATCTTTAATCCCAGCACTGGGGAGGCAGAGGCAGGCAGATCTCTGTAGTTCCAGACCAGTTGGGGCAACAGGGAGACCCAGTCTCAGAAAAAAGTAAGAAAAGAAAAGAAAAAGAAAAAGACATCCTGGAATAAAATTTGGTTCTACTACCAAACCATATACATTCTTAGAAATCAAACTGTTGCGTTTCTTAAGGGCTAAATTTATCTGTGCAGTGCAACTTTTTCTTAAGATAGCTATCTTTTCTCTTTATATTAAACATTTCCAGCCATCTTAATCCTTAATAAATTTTTAATTAATTAATTACTTTTTTGGTATTTTTGAGACAGTCTCCCTGTAGCCCCAGCTGTCCTGGAACTCACTATGTAGACCAGGCTGGCCTCGAACTTACAAAGATCCGCCTGACTCTGCCTCCCCAGTACTGGGATTAAAGGCCTGCGCCACCATGCCTGGCTAAGATGTAATATTTTGCCAGGTTTTTCTATACCTTCTCTCTAAAATTATAAAGATATAGTAAGAGTATTATAAAAAAATTTCAAATAAACATATAACCTAAGAAGAAGAAAAAAAAAATCTATGTAAAATTTCTTCCTTAGTTTCCCTAAAATAACTACTTGCCTACTAGAACACAAAGACATCATTTTGCTGTTTGCAACATGTATTCATACTGCAATTAATTAATTAATTAATTAATTGAATAAATCTGTTCATGTTATTTTATTATTATTTTATGACATCAGAAAACTTAGACCAAGAATAAAGTTCTGGGGCAATTATTCTGGTATTGTGGAAATGACAGGAGATGAAGATGATTCTAATTCATCAAAGATCACTCATACTTCAGAATTAATTTTTTCGGTTGTACATCTTAGGAAAATTGAATTTAATAACTACCTTTTCCTTACTGTTTTGTAATTTTTTAATTGAATGATTTCCATTCCCACCTAGTTCTCTGGTTCCACATTTATGATGGTTTAATGATTTATTCAGAAAAATTAATTATACTAATCTTAAGATTTAATAGCTAAGCCATAAAACCAGCTGCTCATGAGTTAAACCTTATTTTTAATATGTAGTGCCACTCTTTTATTTCAGTTTAAAAACTAACAACACAAGCTGTCCTCTGACTCACTTATGCCATCCCCCCAAATAAATGTTAAAAAAAGAAAACTAAACAAACAATAAAGACATCTCTAAAATGGTCATATAACTGAATAGATAAAAAATGAAGCAATAAATGAAGCAATTCTTTTGGATAAAGTTTTTTCAGTAAGAAACAGTTTTAAAGTGAAAGGAATTTATTTATTGACACTGAGGTGATTCCTGCTGGGTTACTTCATGCAAAGGGTGAGAGGCAGATAAGCCTAAAATTTTCTTGCCTAAGTAAACATGAATCTAAGTAAATGTGTAAACTTTACTTTTTAAGAAGTCATTTTACCTCCACAAATGGCATCTGTTACAGCCCTCCTCCTCTCCTTTTCGATACCCCACATCTTACTAAAGAATTCAAGGACAAGCTAGCTTTGTCCTATAGGGTGGATACAGTGTTTTCTTAGTAATACTTTCATGCTAAGGACTACTGAGCACAATGTAAAACATGAATGTCTAATGGAACGAGATACAGTTGTGGTTTTGTGTGTGTGTGTGTGTGTGTGTGTGTGTGTGTGTGTGTGTGTGTGTGCATGCATTGCATGGAGGTCTGAGAACAACCTCAGGTGTCCATCCTTGTCTTACACCTTGTTTCAGACAGGGCCTTTTGTTTGCTTGGGGCTTCTTCCAGGCTAGCTGATGAATTAGCCTCTAGGGATTCTCTTGTCTCTGTTTCCCATCTGCTGTAGGAGTCTGGGATTACAGATGCACCACTGAGTTGGGCTTTACATGGGTTCTGGGAATTTGAACACAGGTCCTCATGCTAACACATCAAGGGCTTGACCCAATGAACTATCTCCCTAGCCCTATTATCTATCTATCTATCTATCTATCTATCTATCTATCTATCTATCTATCTATCTCTCTCTCTCTCTCATCCATCCATCCATCCATCCATCCATCCATCCATCCATCCATCCATCCATCCATCCATCTCTATCATCTATCCATCTATCCATCTATCTACTTTACTGATTGACACCCACCTGCCTCTGCCTTCTGAGTGCCAGGATTAAAGGTGTGGGCCACCACACGTGCCTCTCTTCTGCCCCTTTTGCTACTATTCTGAGCCTTAGCCTATTTTATTTTATTTTTATTTATGTTTTTACCCCAGGATCAGACTCTTAAGTTTCTTCAGCAGACTAAGCCCTGTTTATAAAGGAGAATTTGAATCCTTACTTAAGACTATACTTTTTAAAATATTTTATTTATTATTTTTATTTTATGTGTATGAGTGTATTGCCTGCATATATGCTAGTGCACTTGTATTGTGCAATGCTGTTGGAGGTCAGAAAAAGGTGTCAGAGTCCCTTGAACTGGAGTTATGGACAGTTGTTAGCTGCCATGTAGGTGCTGGGAATTGAATCCTGGTCTTCTCCAAGAACAGTCATTGCTCTTAACTGCTGAGCCATTTTTTCAGCTCTAAGATTATATTCTTAATTATAATTTTCTTTAAAATGTACAATCCAAATTAATCTATGGCAAGATATTTATTTACAATGTAGTTGTTATTCAAATAAAAGACTTGCAGATGCTAAGTTGTAGGGAACTATGAGCATCTTTCAAAATGTCCTGTATCTCTGGTGAGTCACCTGTCCTCTTATCAAGGAGGACATGGAGACCCCACCAGATGGACCTGAACCAGTGTCCAGTCCACAAAGAGGGTCAACACAGAGGAATCATTTCCTCCATGCTTCCAAGCAAAGCCAGCCACGGTCGAGCAGGACCTTTGACTTATCTTCAAATAGATGGAACTGGTAAAAGAGTGGAGCCAGGGGCTCCTCCCAAGCCCATATGACCCCGGAGGAACAGATCCTCAGACAACCTTAAGAGTAAAAATAGCTGGATGTGGTGGCACATGTCTGTAGTCCCAGCACTTGGGAGGCAGAAGCAGGCTGATCTCTGTGAGTTCAAGGCCTGCCTGGTCTACACAGTGAGTTTCAGGCCAGCTGGGGCTACAGGGAGACTCTGTCTCAAAAAAAAAAAAAGTAAAAATACATTGGTTTATCTGGGCCAATTGTAGGGTCTTAAACACACAAAAGTAAAGAATAACCAAAGATTAATGAGGTCAATATAATTTTTTTTAAGAGTCCATATGTATAGCTAAACGCTACATAACAAGAAACAATGCCAGACACGAGATACTTTCCTTTGAGATATTGGCCAGGGTGGCCAAAAAGACTCCCAGACAGTAACCCAGCATAAAACTGGGAAAATGAACAGCAGACCACAATCTTATCTAAAGGAATATTGACAACTGATTGTTGCTAGACAAGGAACAGCTCATCTTCCTAAAACAAGGATCTCTAGATAGGCTGACTAGATTAAGCAGACGGACAAGCACTGGGGAATGGCTGGGGGCACCAACCACACAGTGGACAGTAACAGGGATGACAGAGTATATGGGCTCCAGTGGGGGTGGGGGGCTATGGGATGGTGCCATTTGGGAAATGTATATAGATGAATAAGATTGTATGGGATGTTCTATATGATATACACACAAAAAAATCAAATTAAAGAAAAAGACTCATATTTGAGGAGGAAGCATAAAAATTTACTTCATGTTAATTAGTAGAGGTGATAAACATTACCATTGAAATCTACCTGATGACTTTATTATCCATACTCAGGTGCCAAGGATCCGAGTGTAACTGACTGTGGCTAGTAATAATCAGACACATAGAGAAGAGAGTGTATCCCAGGGTCCTGTTTCCTCCAAGGGGTGGGCCTGCTGCAGAGAACTGACTGAGGAGAGCTAGCCATGGAGGGACGGGCTTCTTGGTGCTATCTAGCTTAAAGGTTGAAAATTCATTCAATTTTATGTCTTACAGGGTTTATACTGAGTTCAGTTTTGTATAACTATATTAATTCAACTGTGAACCTAAAAATTTAGAGCCCCTTTTGAAAGAGATGTATCATTGTTCTGGAAATTGTTACTGAATATGTTAAAGCTGTAATGAAATGCTTCTTCTAATCATGTGGTTATTAAATTAAAAAAAAAAAGACTTGCAGATGGCTTACCTGACATCTTTCTCAAGTTGAGCTGTACACTTCATTAGTGAATCAATTTTAGAATCTCTCTGACGCACTGACTCTATGAGGTATCTGTAAGGTTGCTGAGTCTGGCTTAATAACGAATTGGCTCTGTCAAGCTAAAGAAGCACATATTTCATTAAGTTTTAGAGAGTTTGACAACAGACAAAAACCATCCAAAATGCTCTAGCATACAGTACACCAACCTCCTAACAAATGTTTGCTGATACTAGGGATTGAACCCAGGACTTCATGTTTGCACTGAACTATACCCCAGACCAAAGTGTACCAAACTCTTTTTTATATAAACTATTCTGAAAGGCTAAATAAATGTGTGCAAATTTGGAGGTCTGAAAAATGACTAATCAAGACACTTATTACAAATAGTAGCAATAATGATTATAAAAAAGAAAAATTTGAGATGTTAATAGATACAAATTTGGGGGACTGGCCACCTATATTTCCTGTTTGTTCATCAAATTATCTATAGATATATTTTTTTAAATGAAAATTCATTAGATAAAAATGAAAATCTTTAGGCCAGGCATGGTGGTACATGCCTTTAATCTCAGCACTTGGGAGGCAGAGGCAGTGAATCTTTGTGAGTTCAAGTCCAGCCTGGTCTACACAGTGAGTTCCAGGCCAGCTGGGGTTACAGGGCGACCTTGTCTCAAAAAGACCAAAGGGAAAATAAAATAAATTATCAGGTCTTCATATTTCCTTTAGTTTA